TGCCCAGAACGTGCTCTTTTTATACCCCTGGCCAGCTGGCTCGTTTGCTCCTCTCTTTCTCCTTTGGAACTTTCTTTTATCCTAATGTAGTATGTAGGTACTTCTAGGTAGAGCAATGTTTTTGCAAAGTGATCCACTTTACACAAATCGAAAAAGGATAGGAGTGTGGTTGTTGGAGGACTATTCACTCTTTCACTCAGATTTTGCTTATTAAAATATACCCTTTGCCCACTTCCAAATGAACAGCGTAGTGGACCACGGGAGGGAAACGCTTATGAATGGAAAATTTAAGGATTTGCCATACTGCTCTGATCTGATGAACTTATATATCTTCCACTTGTGTAGGTTTTATCTTCATCCTTTCACACAAATTATGATCCCCAATATATACAAGACAAATACGATTACTTTATACAAGAACTTAACAAAGCAGCAGATAGTAGTATACCCTTGTTTAAAATATGTACCAATCCAACTAACAAATTTAAACCAAAACCATACTGGAGCCCTGACCTTTCGTTAGAAGTAGCTTACCGTAGAAAAGCATTAGGGAATTTTAGAAGAAACCCCACCCCCGATAATCTTACACTATTTGAGAATCAATCCAAAAAATGTTCAAGAGCTAATGCAAAAGCTCGTAGTCAAAACTGGGAAAAATTCTGTACCTCTGTTGACAATGGCACATCGTTATCTGACCTATGGAATAGAATGCGATGGTTAAAAGGTTACAGGAAAGCGAAACCCTACGTGCCGTCTGAAAAACTGGTCGAAGTTTTATGTTCACTTACTCCTGATTCAGTTCTTAGTAAAGCGCCGGTAGTAATGTCAACAAATCACTTAATAGAAATAATGTTTACTATGCAGGAATTTGACCATTGCCAAAAAACAAAAGATACTACTCCCGGCGATGACAACATTGCTTACTCAATGATTTACAACTTACCATATAAAGCTAAAATATTTATTTTAAAAATATATAACCTAATTTTTTTCTCTGGCTATATTCCTGTTCAATGGCGAGATATCAAAATTATAACAATACAGAAACAAAATAATCCAAATACTGAATTTAAGTTACGTCCGTTATCACTTATATCCTGTATGTGTAAAATATTTCACGCTATGTTGGGTAAGCGACTGGAGTGGTATATTGAAAAAAACAAAATTATATCAAAATGTACAGTGGGCTTTAGAAAGTCGCAGTCGTGTATAGATAGTCTATCTCGTTTAATTTCACAGATACAATTAGGTTACTCTGAGAACAAACCTACCGTGGCCGTTGCCCTAGATATAGAAAGTGCCTATAATAATGTTTCGGTCAATGCGTTAATTAGAGTTTTGGACGAAATTAAAGTAGGCGCTAAAATCTGTAATTATTTCTGGAATTTCCTGAGTGAGAGGCATTTAACAGTTAAAAACGATGATGGTCAGCGGATAATTACGAGATGGGCATCTAATGGGCTATCTCAGGGTGACCCTATCTCGCCATTATTATTTAACATAGTAACATATAAGATATGTAGATTAATTAAAAAAATGAAACTAAGAAACGCTACCCATCTTGTAACTCGACCACCCAGAACGAACTATGGAAAGAAGAATATTGAATTTGAAGGAGTAAAGATATACAATAAATTACAGTTAAATATAAAACATGCTACTACATTGACTACATTTAAAAAAACATTGAAGAAACACATAGCAGCTACTTATTAGTTAATACATTATTATTGTACTAAAACATTCACAATCAAATAAACTAATAAGGATAAAAACAATTCTATATGCACATAATATTCGTGTGTGTGCGTATATGTGTATGTGTAAGTGCATGCAGGGTATGTGCATGCATGTGTGTGTGTGTGTATGTATATGTATGTGTATATGTACGTCTATGCATATGTGTATGTTTTTATATTTACAAATATAAATCTTAATAAATAAATCAAAAAAAACTAAAAAAAATAAAAAATAAAACAAAATCTCAAGTCTCAATCAAGTATCAAAAAAAAAAAGAATTCAGTAATAAAAATAGAAGAGTGTACTTACCATCTGGATGCCACATCTAGTTAATAATTTCAAGTTACATCTTTGGTTCAGTTGCTTGGATTCCCATTGTTTTCTGTGTTCGAGTGTTTTGCAAGTTCGTAATCTTACGCAAAATATATTTGACTAACCACTTTTATTTTATATTATATTCAAACGCTCATTGGATTTATTTTGTTTACTTTTATGTATGTTTTCTCAGTAAGTGAATTTTGTAAATTCTTTTGAGAAATAAAGATTCTTAAACCAGAATTAAAACTGTCATGATATCACAATATGCTGATGACTTTGTTATTTTTGGAAGCAATAAAAATCTGAATCAATGCAAATTAGATATAGAAGAAGCATTAAAAATATTAATTTTATTATTAGATGAGATAGGGCTTAATATATCTATAAGTAAATCGAAGTATTGTGTGTTTAGTAGAGGGCACAGAAGAATAATTCCCAGTATTACTGTTAACGGTTATAATTTGTCGAAGTCCCCATGCATAAAATATTTAGGTATGTGGTTAGACCAATGTCTCAATTGGAATAAACACATAAATGAAATAGTTGAAAAGTCGTCCAAATTGTTAAACTTGTTAAAAGTTTTAGTTGGCCCTACGTGGGGTCTACATCAGACACATGTGAGGAGATTATACATATCCTTAATTCGAAGTCGCATTGATTACGCTAGCTTTCTATATGACAACAGTTCTAAAACACAAATCTCTAAATTAGATAAAATACAAAACCAATCCCTGCGTATAATTGGTGGATTTATTAAAAGTACTCCCATTCACGTGATGTAAAGTGAACTTGCTTTACCGCCTCTTTTTTTAAGAAGACGATACCTCGCATATAAATACTGCTTAAAAAGTCAATCACTTGCTCATAATGTAACTAACTAACAACTAACTAACTAACAGAACAGATATCTAAATTGAACTCTTTATGTCTTGGTCGGTACTGGCAAAACAAAAAAAAACCCTTACTAGCTTCAGCATATAATGAAACCAAACTCTGTGAAGTTCACTGTACAGCACCTTTACCTAGATTTAAACTAAATAAGTGGACAACATACATAAATACAAGAGATTTTATTAATGGAAATTTAGATTGTATGACTAAAAGTAAACATGAATATGAAGGATATTCTATTAAATGGAAAGTATGTAACGAGATTAATGGAAAATACCCGGGATGGCATATGATATATACAGATGGCTCTAAGAAAGACAGCTCCCTTGGAGCAGCCTTTTATGTTGCCACTGCAAAACATAGTGTATGTTATAATATTAAAACTAATGTATCTATAATGACAGCGGAGCTCATTGCAATCTCTGAGGCCCTATCTTATGTGATTGATAAACGCTGGAACTACGCGGTTATATTAACGGACAGCAAAAGTGCATTGCAACACGTGGCTCGATGCGCCTCTGATAGCAGAGGTGTTTCGATAGCCTTTATAATCCTGGAAAAAATATTACAATTACAGGAAGAGGATAGGACTCTGAGGTTGCAATGGGTTCCGGCTCACATTGGATTACATGGTAACGAAGAAGCGGACAGAATGGCTAAAAAGGGTTGCTCACAGGGAGTTGAATTTAATATTCGACCTGATTATTCGGAAGTACTACATAAATTTAAAATACTAAATTATAATAGATGGAAGGTACACTTTAAAGAAAAATCTGAAACGAAAGGAATTTGGTACAGCACTTTACAATCTGAGCCGTTTTGTATACCATGGTTTATAGGATGCAACATTAATAGGAACCATATAAAAATGTTATTAAGACTTCGATCTGGACACATTCCATCTAATAAATTTGCATACCTAATGAAAAAGAAAAATTCTCCGTATTGCAACTTATGTGGTGTGGAAGAGGATGTACAACACGTGCTAATGGAATGTGTCAAGAACCGAAGCGAAGGATTACGTATGAAGCGAGTGGTGGTGCGTAAACAAACAAAGTGCTCCGTATAAAAAATTCTTAAAAAAATAGTTATAGTGATTACAACTCAAATAAATAGTGTTTAACCCAAAACTTACGAGACATAAAGCAAGTAATATTGGAGTACAAGTGAAATATCCACGAATAAAGGAAAAAGCTCAAATAGTGGCAGAAAAATAACTACCGCCAAATTCAAATAATAACATTTAAAGTGCACAAACTTCTGCAGACGTTCTACCTTTATGCAACTGACATAATAACTGGAAGTCCACCAAAAGGTACATATCTATTGAAATATTAATACTCCTACTGTATATAAAAACCTAGAAATTCTAGTCTCCCCGCATTTTTCTGACCATAGCGCCATCTATCGCAAATTGCGACTAAAGCATTAACATCTGATACATTAATATCGAGCAACAGTACCAGTTATAACTAGAACACACTAGAGGTCACTAGTACCATACTAGTACCATATTATTGAATTCCATTAGAAAAAGTACATACAACCAAAACCAGATGGCACCCATATCGTGTGCAGGATGCCACCAAAAATTACCCTCAAAAGAAATTCTGGCTTGTAAACAATGCAACTGCAAATACGATCTCGAATGCGCCGGGGTCACTAAAGAGTATTATACCAAGACTATGACTTTAGAACACAAAAAAACATGGCAATGTCAGGCTTGCGTTTGTAAAAAACCCAAGACAGGCAATATCGACACTCCTATACGCACTCCTAGAAGTACTGAAAGCTCAATCGCGTCCATAGAACGCAACAACATTACCACGAGAAAAAGAACAATAAATTCGTATAACGATAGCGCTAGCTCTGACGATCTGAGTTTTTTAGGAGATACGATAGAAGACACAACAAAAACACAGTTTTCACTACAAAGTTTGAGTGAATTGATAAAACTTCGACTGCAAGAAAATAATAAGTCTATCATACAAAAATTACAACATACAATACAAACAGAAATATGCAAGGCTATAACTGAATTGAAACAAGATATGGACCATAAAATAAAAACTTTAACCTCCCAGAACGACCAAAGAAAACAAGAACTTAACCATTTAAATATTGAAATAGATAAACTTCAAATAGAAAACGAAAATCTAAAGAAAGAGATAAAAGGACTTTCAACTCAGACATCCCAGCCAACTTACATTCCTGAAAGTAATTATAAAAAAATTGTACTTTATGGACTCGCAGAGTATTACAGAGAACCCGAAAACTTACTTTTCAACAGACTGGAAGACCTCTTTCGCGATATAGCCCAAGTCGATCTATCTGGCTATATAGAAGACACGTATAGGATGGGCAGAAATACCAGTTCGAATCGACCGTTAGTTATTGAACTAATTAGTAAGAGAATGGTCAAGTACCTTCTCAAAAACAGCCAATGCTTTCAAGGAACTGGATTATTTATTGCCGAATTTCTAGACAACACTGCGAGAAAGGAAAGGGCACAACTGCGAGAAGAGCTATTTGCGGCACGCAAAAAGGGCCTGCATGCAATAATAAGGAATAAGCAACTGTATATAGAAGGTAAACTTACACATCTTAATAATTTTAATAATAACACCAATAAAGACCCACACACTAATAGTCGAGAACTTTCGACCACAATGCCAACCAACATCACCAACCCACCGTGTAATGAGATTACATCGGATGAACAAGAAATCAATACATTTCGCAAAGAAAGACCCACCATTTAAAATCTTGTTTCAAAATTTTCAAAGCCTCAACAATAAACAGGACATACTTGAAGCCTTTATCACCCAAAATTCAACATACAAAGCAATATGCATCTCGGAAACTTGGCTAACACAAGACAAGCTGGACCTAGTTCATATTACTGGATATAAGTTTGTATCATCGTATTGTCGCAGCACCAGAACTGGCGGCGGCGTCAGCATTCTACTTCAAGACCACATAGACTTTATAGACAGAAAAGATATTACTGATATGTCGATAGAATATATTGTGGAATTATGCGCTACTGAATTACCTAAAGAAAATTTATTAATTATAACAATGTATTGGAACAGAAGAGAGGAAGAAATATTTTATAAACAGTTAAATTTAATCCTTAAATATATTAATAATAAATATTCCAAGTTGAACATAATCATAGGCGGCGATTTCAATGTTAATATTTTGGAAAATAGCTCAAAATCTAGTCAACTCTTAAATTTAATGCTAGAGTACAAACTAGCACAACATATCAAAACACCTACGAGGGGTGATCAATAAGTAATGATAATCAATATGAAACAGAACTATTAGATTAAAAAAAGTATTTTATTTTTCAACATAGTCTCCTTGCAAGTTAATAAATTTAGTGTATCTTCTTTCTAAGCCCATGATTCCCTTAGAAAAAAATTATTTGTCTTGACCCTCCCAAAATGCCTCTACTGCGGCCATCACTTCACTATTGTCCTCAAATTTGTTGCCCCGGAGGTGTTCTTTGAGCCGAGGAAAGAGGTAGAAGTCACTGGGAGCTAGATCTGGCGAATAGGGAGGGTGTTCGAGCAGTTCGAACCCCGTTTCTTCAATGGCAGCCATCGCAACTGCGGCTTTGTGAGCCGGGGCGTTGTCTTGGTGAAACAGCACTCCAGCGCGCAGTTTACCGCGTCTTTTTGACTTAATAGCTTCTCGCAATCTTCTTATTTGGCCTGCGTAGTAAGAGCCTGTTATAGTGGCCCCCTTTTCCAAATATTCCACCATAATAATTCCTTCTGCATCCCAGAAAACAGACGCCATAACCTTTCCCGCTGAACTTGACACTTTGAATTTCTTCGGCGTTGGTGAGGAAGATCGTTTCCAAGTCATTGATTGTTGTTTGGTTTCGGGATCAAAGTGGTGGATCCAGGTCTCGTCCATGGTCACAAAACGCGACAAAAAAAAATCTTTATCGGCCTGGAACTTTTGAAGATTCACCCTCGAAATGTCGACTCGTTTCTTTTTTTGCTCGTCGGTTAACATTCTCGGTACCCAACGCGCAGAGACCTTTTTCATATGCATTTTGTTGACAATGATTTTTTTAACGCTGCCATAGGAGATCCCTGTGACCTCAGCTACATGCCTTACGGTCACCCTTCGATCGGCCAACACGATATCTTCCACTTTTTTGACGTTTTCTCCAGTAAGGGACGTGGAAGGGCGTCCCTCGCGATGTTCATCTTCAGTGGAGGTTCTGCCCAGCTTAAATTCCTTTGCCCAGCGTGCGACTGTGGAATATGGAGGAGCAGACTCCCCCAATGTTTCCTCTAAGTCGCTGTGTATGTCTTTGGTAGACATTTTTTTCAGGCAGAGGTACTTGATGACAGCTCTTATTTCATTTTTCTCCATTTTGATGTTTTCTCTTCGACAGTTCGTATTCAAATGATTGTATCTCCCGGTAATGGTGTCCTATTTATACATTTTTTTGAAGCTGAAGTAGTGGATATATAAGCAAGCAGAAAAAAAATAATTTGGGTTTTTGTGCGTTCTAGAAATACTCGATTATCATTACTTATTGATCACCCCTCGTACACGACTAACTCCAACAACTAAAACTTGCATTGATCTGATATTTACTAATTTTAAAGATAGATATATGTATACGACAGTGGAAGAGTTAGGTTTTTCAGACCATAATAGTACTGTGATTCATTTAAGTTTACCAGAACAAACCAAACAAACAATCTGGTACACTAAAAAAAGAATATATAATGATAAAAATATATTAAAATTTAAATCTAATTTACAGATATTAAAATGGAATGAGATTATGACGATTAATAAGAACGTAAATGAAAATTATAAAATATTTCATGATACACTAACAAATATCTTGAATAAATGTATACCTTTAACTAAAATTAAATTAAAATCTGGGTATAAAAAACACTGGCTCACTGTAGGTATAAAAATCCTTGCAAAAATAAAAGGTTATTAAAACTCCTAGTCACAAAAACCAAGAACCCGATACTAACTAAATACTATAAAAATTATGAAAAAACTTTAAAGAAAGCCGTGACAACAGCTAAAAGACATCACTTCGCGGAAAAAATGCGTAATTCACTAAATAAAGTTAAAACAATGTGGTCCATTATTAACGAGAGAACTAACAAAAAAATTAAAAGTGAAAAATATAATATAATCCTACAAATAAATAATAAACAAACTACACAGCCAAAGGAGGTAGCAAACATCTTTAATGACTTTTTTGCCTCTATTGGGGAGAATAACTCAAACCGAACCGGCAGTAAACCGAAAGGAACCCGAGCGATATCTCCCACAGAGAACTCACTTTTTCTCAGTCCAGTCGACCCGTATGAGGTAAATAAATTAATAAAAAACTTAAAAAATAAAAATAGCCACGGAATAGATGAACTTCCACCTACTTTAATAAGACAATGTGCAGACGAATTAACATTACCTTTTTACAACTTATTAAACCAATCTTTTGAAGAAGGCACGTTTCCCGACCTCTTAAAAAAATCCATAGTAAAACCGATACATAAAAAAAGCACGAAAACTGATCCAAACAACTATCGCCCTATAGCTCTCTAGCCAACAGCCTCAAAAATTTTTGAAAAGGCTATGTGTAATCGTGTTTATGCTTTTTGTGAAAAATATAATATATTTAACGACAGTCAAAATGGGTTCCGTAAAAATCGATCCACAATCTTGGCGGTTTATAAATTTATTCAGAAAGCGCTACATATAATTGATAAAAAGAAATATGCAATAGGAATAATGCTCGATATGACCAAAGCTTATGATAAGGTACAATTTGATATATTATTAAACAAATTAAATAGTGCAGGAATCCGTGGTAAATGCCTGCAATGGTTTACATCATATTTAAAGGATAGGGAACAACTAGTAGAAATAGAATTTTATAACCACAAGACCAATGAAATAGAATTAATCCGATCAGATTACAAGCTAATTAACGCCTCTATTCCACAGGGAAGTGTATTGGGGTGTCTACTCTTCCTTATATATATAAACGATCTCCCAAAAAATATATATGAACCATGTGTTTTGTTTGCAGACGACATATCAATACTCACTTCATGCGAAAATAACAATAACCTTAATGATAAGTTAAATTCTATACTTACTGCTACAACTGACTGGATGACAGAACACAATCTAGAAATTAATTTCAACAAAACAAAAATAGTTACATTCCACCCACATCAGAAAACACCAATAAACGTAAATTACACCTTCAACAACATAAACTTAGAAGTAGTAAATAAATTCACCCTATTGGGCATTGACGTAGACAGACATATTGATTGGAAATCACACATTCGAAGAATACAAGCCAAAATTTCAAAATTTACTTACGCCCTCCGAGAAATAAAAAAAACTACAGACCTTAAAACAGCACTTGCTACCTACTATTCATATGCCTACGCATGGTTCACATACGGAATAATCCTGTGGGGCAATAGTACAGATGCACCTACACTATTCACTTTACAGAAAAAACTAGTTAGAATCCTAGTAAACATAGAAGACACAGACAGTTGCCAACCTCACCTCGTCGAACTTAAAATTTTAACCTTACCCAGTATCTATATATTGGAAACCTGTAAATTCGTTAGACAACACCCAGAGTTCTACAGTAAAAGAGAGGACATACAAACCAAAATGACGCTTAGACACAAAGATAGACTTAATTTACCAGCTTCCCGACTCAAAATGCACTCATACAGCCCATTTGTAATGTCCATCAAAATATACAATCAGTTACCTAAAACCATAAAACAAGAAAATAAATATAACAGTTTCACAAAAAAATTAAAACTCTTTCTTGTAAGTAAAAGCTACTACAGCATAAGAGAGTATTTTGAAGATAGAATACTAAAATAATAAAATTCATAAATTATACAACTATTATGATAAATAATAAATAAAATATTATTTCCTCTCTCCCAAACAAACTGTGCTGCGCCCGTCAGGGTCCATAATTGTTACTATATTTAAATTGATATCACCTATGTATTTACATTGTGGAAGCAATAAAGTATTGAGTATTGAGTATTGAGAAAGAAAAGCACTGATGGAAACATTTAATCTAAACCAGATTGATGTAGGAATTGCGCAGACTATTCTATCACTACCAATATCTGAGACTGCAAAACAGCTGTGTATTAGCGGTTCAATGTTTTCATAGTGACGCGTAAATTGTAAAGTAATGTAGAAAATACAATGGGGTTGACATGTCCACATAGACAAAAACCCCTAATCAACAACAGATTTAAAAAAAAAAAAAAAAAAAACTTCATCCTTCTCATTCTTTATAGCAAACGATGCCTGGTCTGAACCTTTATTTACGTATTTACACACGTTCATTCAGTCAAAAAAATATCGGGAATGGATGATTTGTGTATGGTTCCAAATTCAAATTTTTGTTGTTGTTAGATTGGCACAACTGTTTTCCATTTTGGCGCGGAGTTTGAGTTGCATCTGTTATTTATATTAAATACAGTGCTGTTTTTAGTTATATCATATTTAGTGTGTATTGCGAATTTCATAATGGTCAAAAACATCGAACAAAGAGATTGTCATAAATTTTGCATCGCCAATGGAATTTCGTCGTCGTCGACGTTTTTTTTGTCAGAGGGGGCAGACGAGCAGACGGGTCACCTGATGGAAAGTGACCATCGCCGCCCATGAACGTCTGCAACTCAGGAGTCACAAACGCGTTGCC